GGTGTGCGTGACGAAGAATTGCCACACGCTGGGCGCGTTGTGCTTGGCAGGCCCCTGGCCCAGCGCCTTCGCGGCGTCGACTGGCACCCGACGCCACCCGAGCAGCCGGAGCTCCTCCTGGGCGGCGATCGCCCGCTCCACCAATCGCTGGGCTTGGCGTCGCTCGTCGTCCTTCCGTGCCAGGAACATCATGCCCACCGCGTAGCCGCCCGGCTCGGGCAGCCGCTGCCGCGACCCCTCAGCCCACTCCACTTCACCATCTTCTTTTTCATCGCAACAGGCGCGAAGGAATTCGTGGGGCAGCGCGAGCATGATGCCCACGCCGTCTTCGGCGTTGTCGCAGCCCTTGGCCCCGCGGTGGGCCATGCGGCTCAGGGCCAGCAGGGCGTCGCTGACGATCGCGTGCGAGGCCTGACCACCGACGTGGGCCAGCAGCGCCACGCCGCAGCTGTCGCGCTCCATGTCGGGGCTCCACATCGTGGGCACCTGCGGGCGCGGGAAGCCGGACACGAAGTCGCCGTCGGCCGCCCAGGTGTTGTTCGTCATGTCCTCCTTTTGTCGTGTGCGGTCACTGTAGAAGAAGATGGGGAGGTCAAGGATATAATCAAGCAGGGCCGCGTAGTGAAGATAAGGAGATGTGGAGGAGACGCCAAAAGTAATGGGAAAGAAATGGTGTTGAGTGTAGGAGACTGCTGGGAATGGTGTGGGTACCAGCACTTGGTCGTCATGATGGTTGCTTTGGGAGGGAACTTGAGAAGGAGGGAGGTGGATGCAGTAGTGGTGTGGTTGAGGTGGTGTACAGGAGAGGGAGATAAGATAGCGTAATGGTAGCTTTGGTGCTGAGGGACAAGTGCGGGTGTTTGCAGGGAGCGGGGGAGTTACGGCAAGTGAGTTATGCGGAGAACAAGGTCAGCAAGGTCGACGTGCGCAGTGTGGGGCCGCAGACAGGTGCAGACATCACAGTGCTCAAGTCCCTGCCTCCCACCATGGAGCAAATCCCAGCCGTCCTCAAAACTGTTGGCAGGTCGACCTACCAGTAAACGTCTTCGTGCGGTTGGGAGGGGTGGGCTCTCCAGCCTGCCGGAACATCTGCGCTCCTCCTGTGTTTGCCGGAGGGGCGCAGTTCGCTGATGCAACCAATGAAAATTCGGAGCTCGGGTATCAATATATCCGAAAATTTCTCCGTTATACCTAATTTATAATTTAAGCTCTACACTGCAACCCTACTTGATCTAGCTGCTTGGTGAGTCACACATGATAAAATGAACAGTTCTTGGGCAGTCATGGAACACGAACAAGATGGGGCTAGTCTTTCTAGCCATTGACAATTCTGAAAACGTGAGTATCAGCCATAACAATTCCTTTTTTGCCAATGTGAGCACGCCCAAATACTGCCAATGTCAGCCCATAACTAAACGGACGGTTCAACGGCGACGGTAGACGTCGTAGAGCTTCTTGGAGCCGACGAGCACCGCCACGCCCACCAGCGCACCGGCGATGATCGTCAACAGGTTGGTCGACGACAGACTGCAGCTGCTCTCCGACTGCCGCTGTGCGTATGAGAGGCGAGTTAGATCAGCTGTTAGTGAGCGCATAATGATATGTTACAACTCGCAAGTAGGGGATTGGACGGCACCTGGGCAGGCGTGGGCCTGGCAGTCGGGGTGGTGATGGTGGTCGAAGTGGGCGTCGACGTGGTGGTCGTCGTGCTGGTGGCGGCGGGCGCAGACGACGACGAAGAGCTGCTCCAGGCCTGCGGCGAGGGCTCAAATCCAGCAGCCTGCGTGTGAACGTTGTGTGGGCGTGCGAAAGAACGACGTCAGCGATCAGGTCCACGTCGGGTTGAAGGAATGCGCGCGTGTCGCCTTTATTGCCGAGAGAGCTCGAGTGCAGCAGAGAGAGGGGGGAAAGAATGCAGCGCGCGGGGGCTTAGTTGACCTTTTCGAAGTAGCTCAGCGAGGCCTTGGGATCCGGCTTCATGGTGGCCGCGCCGGGGGTCCAGTTCACGGGGCACACCTTGACATGATGTTGCACGACGTCAAACCCGCTCTCCAGCTACACACACTACGGTGGGGGAAATGTGGAGTACCTCGCCGTGCTCGTCGACGTACTGGAACGCCTGCACGAGACGAAGGACCTCGTCGACGTTGCGGCCCACGGGGCTGTCGTTCTTGGTGATCTGCACCACGACACCTAAATCGTCCACCCACACAGTCAAGAGAGAATATCAGTGACGATTGACTGGACTAGCTGGTGGGCCGGTCATGGGTCGGTGTGGTGATTACCTTGCGGGTTGATGATAAAGAGGCCCCGGAGGGTGTGGCCCTCGCCCTCGATCAGGACGTCGTAGTCCCTGGCCATCTTCTGGCGGAGATCGGCGATGAGCGGGTAGTTGAGAGCGCCGCCCAGGCCGCCGGCCTTGCGCGGAGTGTTCAACCACGCGAGGTGCGCATACTTGCTGTCCACGGACGCACCCACCACCTAGAAAGGAGGAAAAAGGTTTCCCAAGCATCGGTCAGACCACAGGCTGTGTGTCGTGTGTGTGTGTGTGTGTGTGCGTCTCATTACCTCGGTGTTGAGGGCCTGGAACTCCTTGATGCGGTCGGAGAAGGCAAGCAGCTCGGTAGGGCAGACGAAGGTGAAATCAAGCGGGTAGAAAAAGAGCACCAGGTACTTGCCTGTGGGCGAGCAATAATGAGGATGACGACGACGACGACAAGTACGTTGGGGGAAAAAAGTAACTGGTGTGTGTGTCGTGTTAATCTCTCCGTACCCTTGTAGTCGGAGAGCTTCAGGGTCTTGAAGTCCTGTCCGACGACTGCCTCCTCCTCGAAGTGAGGCGCCGGGAAGCCCACGCTGGCCACGTTCAGCTTCTTCCTGATGAAAGCGAAGGTCTGCTCCCACGACTCATCGATCACCGACTGTGCGCATGGACAGAGAGAATCAGAACGTGACGCAGGACGCTCGGACTACACAAGCGCAATGATCGATGACACGCAATCCGTACCTGAGGAGCGCCGTGAATGGGGTTGACAAAGCCGTGGCCCACACCCTTGTGCATAATAATCTGAGAATCGACGTTGGCCGACCTGAGCTTCTCCGTCAGGTCGCGCGCCGCCTGAACGCGTAAAAAGAAAAGAAAAGAAAACGAAAACGAAAACGAAAAAAAGGGTTACAGGTCTATATTGGGCAAACAGCAGGTGGGTAGTTCGTTACCTGAGGATCAGAGAAACCGGCGTAGGTGTCCAGCTCGGCGAAGTGGCCGAGAATGGGCACGCGGATGGTCGACACGTCGGCCAACTGGGCCGGCGGAATGCCGTAGTAGGGCACAGCTGGTCAGAGACAACACAGTTACGGGACGCAGCGTGATGAGTACAACTCTCCGCTGGCACTGATCGTGCGTGGCGCAGCATTGCCTCGTTGGCGTACCAGCGTCGACCTCGGGCACAAGCGCAGCGCTGGCGAGGGAGAGGGCGCCGCCCATGCAGAAACCGATGACGGCCACCTTACGCGAGCCGGTGGCCTTGAGGTACTGCACGGCACCCTTGATGTCCTGCAGTGCCCGAATTGATGTTGAGTGGTGTGGAGCGAACCGACTGATTGTTTGTTGGCGCAAACAAAGGAAACGTAAAGCTAAGCTTGTCATACCTGAACCGCGGCGGGCCAGTTCAGACCGTCCATCAGATGACCGGCGTTCTCGTTGTCGATGGCGCACTTGCCGCGGTACCTGAGATGATGACGACGATGACGATGACGATGACGATGACGATGACGATGACGATGACGATGACGATGACGATGACATCGAGAATGACAATGAGCTGTTGGTTGCAGTTCCAAATGTGCGTGCAATGGAGGAAAAAGAGAGTGTAGTACAAGTCGGGAACTAGCGTGCGGAATCCCTTGTCGGCCACGTGCTTGGCCACATCGATGATCTGAGGTCCACGCCACGCAACACGAGAGACGAAACCTCGTTCGTGAGTACACACCAAACGAGGAAAGACTCAGGAGGCGAGTTGGGCCGTACCTGGTGGTTGACGCCCCACCACTCCTGGATCACAACCACACCGATGCCCAAATAGTCTGACAATGTTATGTCAGATTTAATACGAGATGAGAAATGCGAAGTAGCGATTAAACAAGGGAAGGCCATGATACCCTCCTGGCCAAAGAGGTACGCAGGACACTGAGTCCAATCGCTCTCGCGGATGAAGTAGATCTTGTTCTCCTCCTCAGTGTAGGGCGCCAATTCCTCTGCCGAGTGAGCGTGATCGGCCATTTTCAAGTTTCTGCCGAAATAAATGCGTTAATCCCATCCATTTCGTGTAATGCTTGGCGTATCGCACACTCCTACTGCACACAGCATGCCTGTGACAGGCGTACGTACATGGTCAGGTGGAGATGCGGAAGCAAAGACAAAAAGAAAAGGATATAAAATGTTGATTTCCTTGGGAATTCTTGTTTTCCAGTAGGCTGGCGGGCACAGCACAGCTCACGGCACCACAACTCGACCCAAAAAGAAAGATGCAAGCAGTCGTGGTGGATCACTGGCTCAAGGGACCTGAGGAGATTAAGGTGCACTACAAGTTATCAAGCTTCACTTGAGCGCAAGCTCTCGATTTACTGTGAGACTCAGGTGAGCGTGGCTGCAGTGCCGGAGCCGGGCGACGGGGAAGTGCTGGTGGACGTGGCTTACGCTGGAGCCAACTTCTACGACATTCTCATGGTGCAGGGCAAATATCAGGTCTGCTGCCACTATATATATTTATATTTCTTTGTTTTTTTAATTAATTCCTGTTGTGGGTGTGCTCCGCGGTCAGTTCCGTCCGACCTTCCCCTTCATCCCGGGCACCGAGTTCAGTGGAGTCATCGGCAAGCTGGGTTCCGGTACGCACACGCACACATCGCACACGACACATGACGATTCTGTTTCTGAAGACCAGAAGATGACATCTGTGATCGTGCAGGCGTGTCGGGATGGAAGGTGGGCCAGGAGGTGTATGGCATGACCATGCTGGGCGCCTACGCCGAGAAGGTGGTCGTGCCTGCCAACAAGATCCGGCCCGTGCCCAAGGGAATGTCCCTGGTCGATGTACGTAGTTTCATCGTCTCTCAGGCTTCTTCGTGAATGGTGCTCATGTGTTCCACCTAGGCTGCGGGCTTCTCGATGACCTACCCGACCTCGTACTGTGCGTTGGTGTACCGAGCCAATCTGCTTAAGGGCGAGACTCTCCTCGTCCACGCAGCCGCCGGTGGGGTTGGCGTTGCCGCCGTCCAGGTACCCCGACCAGCCACGGTGGAATGTTCGCAATGTCGACTCACTGCCGCCTCTCCCGGCCACTCCAGATCGGAAAGGCCTTGGGTGCGCGCGTTATCGGCACTGTGGGCAGCGCGGAGAAGGTCGAGGTGGCGAAGAAGGGCGGATGCGATGAGGTCAGTGGCATCAAACGCAATTTTAAAAAACGTGGGAGCACTTGGGTCGGCTGACACATTCTGGATGTCGCTCGACAGGTGATCAACTACAAGGACGAGGACTTTGTGGAGAAGGTCAAGGAGCTCACCGACGGGCGAGGAGCTGACGTCATCTATGGTACGATGCCCCTGCATCCTACATTATTAATGTTATAATATCCTCTTTTATCAGACCCTGTCGGCGGCGAAGTGTTCGACAAGTCGACGAAGGTCATTGCCTGGGGCGGACGTACGTTCACACACACGCGCACACTCGCATTCATTACATCATCCGTCGGCGTGGCCTGAGTCTAAATCTAAACCCGGGACTTATGCTGCCTGCGAGCAGGCCTTCTCGTGGTGGGATTCGCTGGCGGCAAGATCCCTTCTGTACAGACCAACCGCGTGCTCCTCAAAAACTGCTCCATCGTTGGGTAAGGCGCCTCTCTACACTCCCTCTCTGCGTGTGTCGTGTCGTGTCGTTGGTCGTGTCGTTGGTCGTGTCGTTGGTCGTGTCGTTGGTCGTGTCGTTGGTCGTGTCGTTGGTCGTGTCGTTGGTCGTGTCGTTGGTCGTGTCGTTGGTCGTGTCGTTGGTCGTGTCGTTGGTCGTGTCGTTGGTCGTGTCGTGTCGTGTCGTGTCGTTGAAGGTTTGCTGGTGCGCGTGTGGCAGTGTGTTCTGGGGCTCCTATGAGATCCACCAGCCGCACAAGATCGAGGAGACCTTCCAAGCCCTGACCGAGATGTACGCCAAGGGCCACCTGAAGCCAGTCACCTGCGCCGTCTACCCCCTGGTTCGTTCACTTGTTGCTGCTGATGCTGGCGATGTTCTTGTTGGTGTGTTGCGAGTGTCTTCTTCACCACCAAGGAGAGAGAGAGAGAGAGAGTGATTGACTAGTCATGCACTTCATTCACAATGCAGGTGGAGCTGCCCCAGGCGCTGAAACACATTGGCTCCAGGCAGAGCTATGGCAAGGTCATCGTGCAAACGAGCAGCAACCGCGGCACCACGGCCAAGCTCTAGCGGGCGTGCATTCCCGCCTGCCTCTGCCTCCAGGGGCTCGGCCAACCCGAGGAGTCGACGAAAGCTGACGACACCAGCGACTGCAACCACATGTCTGGATCGCTCGCATTTCTGTTTGCGGTGCCGCGGGCGTAGAAGAATAACAAAATGTGAATTCGCAAACGATCTTGCGCAGATCTGTACATCGGTGATGGCTGCCGCGATTGCCAAGGGACCCAGAGATCGTCCCGGTAAGGAATCGTCGCGGGGTGGTGGTTTCATGCGCTGTTCTACTGGCTGCCGTCCCTGTTCTTCTGCTCTTCGAGGTACTTCATGACCGATTCCCTTCGCTCGCGCTTCGACTCCTCCTGGTCCATGTGTATTTTCGCCACAAGGCCTGCCGTGCCCACCAGACAGGAAATGAAGAAGACCTTCGCCCAATTCATCTTCATCTTGCTGATCTTGCTGTCTGCAAGTATTGGCGCGGCCAAAAAGAGGGAAAATAAAGCACTAAAATAAAAATACAAACATCAGAAGATGGAGGCGTTCGGATTGCCACTGATGAAGGGGCCGCGGCTGACTGTGTGGCGGTCCAGCTTCGCGCATCCGCGATCAACACACATCCAGACCGTGCACACGCATTGGTTCAACTACAAGGTTCGAATTCGATCTTGCGGATCTTCCGCCCTCCTAAATCCTCTTGCTCATTCTTCTTTCGCGTTCATCTGCGCTCGTTGCCAGACTGCCCTTTGTATTCAATTCATAGATCTCTAATGTTCATCTACGCGATTTAATCTCTTGGGCAGGCTGAGGTAGTATGTCCGGTGGTGGTTCCCCACGCGAGCCAGGAGAAGCCAACGCTCACCGAGATCAGCGCCGCCTTCGCGCCCGGGCTCAACGC